CGAGCTGATCATCCGCGGACGCGGTACGGCAACGCGCTCAAAAGAGCAGGGGCAAACCACGGTCGCGAAGGTGTGACCGAGTCGCGTAGTTTTTGGCAGAGCCCGACTTTCCAAGGAAATGGTAAAGGCTGTTTTTGCTACTTTTGGCGGTAAATGGAATTTGGGGTCGGGCCAGGAAGTTGATGTGTATAAAAGTGGAATGCATTCACTGGGAATCAGCGCATCCAGCCGCCCAGGACTACGGTAAGTAGGTTGAGTTTTTGGTGTTTTATTCATTCGGGCCTTAGAGTTTGATAAGGACTTTCTGGGGTCTAAAAGATGCTTCTAAAGATTTTTGAAACTTTCGAAACAATTGCAGAAATTAAAAAAGTTCCGGACTACAGTATCCCACCGTATGATGCCGTACCCCTCCAAACACCTTTTTTTCAGATGCAATCACTGATGGGGTGGGCCTCCTCCGTAGGCTCAGTCGTAGCCATCCTCACCTGCTTACTGTACACACCGTATCTCTGGGGACAGGTGGATCGAAATTGGCATTTTTGAAAATTTTTAGTTTACTGTAAGCTACTTGTCTCGTTGAATTGATAATTTTTCTAAAAGCTTGTATGCTCAGTACGCTGCGTATATGGCGTCTGTTTTTAGATCGAAGAGATCCAGAGCAATGTCGCTCGGATGAGCGATCGCTTCCACGTCAGGGAGGTCGAAATTGAGGCCCAACTCCGGGTGAACTTTGAGACACAGTAGAAACGGCTTCTTTTTAGCTGGCCCGGAAGAACGTCGGCAGATCCCGTTGGGCTCGTAGCGCCTCGAACTCGCGCTCCAACTCGAACTCCGATTCTCGTGACAGTGATGAGAGCCGTCGTCGCCCGGCTTGGTGTAGGTTTTTTCGGAATATTTGGGAGCGGAAGACACACTTACCAGCGCCTTTAAACAGCATAGTATCGATCTTTAGCTCCTGCTCCCGCCTGGAACCCCGCGCCGGCCTGGAACCCTGCTCCGGCCTGGAGACCCGCTCCCGTTTGGAATCCAGCCCCTGCTCCTCGTTACGGTGGAGGCCAATGCACGTGCGAGTCGTACAACCGATGCCCCTCTGGACCTCCTGGACCCCCTGGAGTCCCTGGAGAGAATGGATATTCTGGAGCACCTGGAGCACGAGGAGTCACTGGAGCGCCGGGCATAGTTCCCGATGAGTATAGGCATATCTCGGTATGTATGGATATACCGGCCCGGTTCACTCTATCTCTCGCTCTTTTTCTCTCTCTCTTTCTTTCTCTCTCTCTCTCTCTCTCTCTCTCTCTCTCTCGCTTTCTGACCTTGACTTTCCCATTTTCAGGAAGGCTGCCAGCGATGCCCATCTGGACCTACCGGAGCTCCTGGAGCCCCTGGTTACCCTGGACCACGTGGAGACAATGGAGCCCCTGGCCGAGATGGAGAATCGTCAAGTGGAGCTCCTGGAGCCCCCGGAATCCCCGGATCGGATGGACATCCTGGAGAGGACGGAACCCCCGGAGGCCCCGGACGCCCCGGAGCTCCCGGAGGTCGTGGAGTGCCCGGACCTCAAGGACCCACCGGAGGCCCTGGACGCACTGGAGAGCGCGTAAGTTTTGGCCTGCTTGATTCCTACACCTAGTAACCCTTGAAAATTCATTTTTAGGGAGCTACCGGAGACACCGGAGCTCCAGGAGCCCCCGGTCAGCCAGGACAGAACGGAGGAGCTGGACGCCCTGGTGGCCTTGGAGCACCTGGAGCTCGAGGACACGACGGAAACACCGGGAACCCCGGGTCGCATGGGCGGGATGCCAACTACTGCCCTTGCCCCAGGCGTTACGCCCACAAGGCCTAAGCGCCATGCTACCTCCAATATTTTTGGTATCAATAAACGTTTTCTGGAAATTTAATAGTGCGCGACGATTGGCAGATACCCGGAAAGCTCCACTTTTCAGGCTTAGTGTAGGCACGGACCTAGATTTAGGCTTAGGCTTACTATTAGGCTTTGCCCAGGTTTCAGCTGAGGCCTAGTCTTGGGCTCGGGCTCAATTTTATGCTTAGGCTTTTTTTTTTTGAAACGCAACCAGATGGCTTTGCTTTGCAAATCCGTTTAGTTCTATCCGTATCACAAATTCCTCACTACACTCAACCTCAAAACGAAGTAAAAACATTATCACAATCAATAAATACATCTTTTGAAAGGACAGTACCCGTATTGTATACAGAGAAACCAAACATCAGGCAAAAATGATAGACAGAGACAATGTTAAGCTATCCGATTAACCGATCGTCCCCCTTTTCCGGGTATGCATCCGGAATTCCCCCCGTCTGGCGTGTGCATCGTCTGATTTCTGGCTTGTTGACGCCAAGTCGGAGGGACCATCTGCATACAGGTCTGATCGGGAAAAGGATTTGTCCTGGCGGTGTCCCTAAAATCAAATTTGGATAGCGCTCTCGAATGTATCGAAAGTATCTCGAAACGGAGTTGTCCGAATCTAATTGATAAAACGGGTTGTTATTTTGGCTTCACAATTCCTTTAATAGGTTAAGTTCTATACGAGCTACAATTACCTAAGCTGAGGGGAAATTGGACGACCTCAATTCAACAACCTTACTTACCGTAATCTCATGCCTTTCCACCCCTTGAATGTAGTCATCAGCAATCTCGTCCTCCAAATTTATCCGATCTCTGATCCCCGCATTCGACAGCTTCTTGTCGAGCATCTCGGAGAACATGTCGCAGAGGAGATTGACGTTCTTTTGGTCTTTCAAAAGCTGAAAATGCCTGATATACATTCATTTTCGTCTGCCCTACCTCAGCCATCGTCGTCTGCCTCGACATCTTTTTCCTTGGCGGTTCAGGGGTGTATGCTTGATTGTCATAAGCTCCTCCTTCAGTTTCATCGATTCTGGATACAGAAAAATATGTCAAATCTTATTTAACATACGTCGACTGTACTACGGTAGTTGTTGGTGTACTGTTCGGTGACGTGGAGTCAGGAACTTCAGCCTAAATAGAAAATTATGTAGGTTAAATTAGAATTTATGGCCTAAGTATCAACTGCTTTATATCCCATATATCTAACCTACCTCCAACACTTCCTGAATTGTCATCTTTGTAAAAGCGCGGATAATTTTCCCCTCGTCGAAATTGCTAGTCACATGTCCACGCGTTAAAATCGGCTTCAGGTAGAAGTTGTTGATCCGATCGAACCAGGCTCGAACACTGTTATGGCCCTTGATCCCGGCGATCACCTCCAGACCAGACATTAGATGGTCCATATACTAAAATCTTGGTTTAAACAAGAAGTTGAGTACGTTACATTCCCATAAACATGCTCGCTCATCGTCTTTGCTCTCCCATCTCTGGTCTCGACACTGAGGCAATCGACCAGCGGCTTGATTGTGATACCCTAAAGGTATGGTTGCGTTGCTTTTTGTAGATACAGTACCTGGAGGAATACGGTGAAGTAGATAACGCATATCGTGGTGGTGAGGAAGCAGCTTTTGGCGCCAATATCCCCGGACATTGACGAAGCTAGACCGAATGCAATGGCACCTCGGAGGCCACCGTAGGAGAGGATGAATTGGTCGACCTAGACAGAGAACTTACTTAGCGAGAGAGAGAGAGAGAGAGAGAGAGAGAGAGAGAGAGAGCAATACTTTTGCAGTTTACCCTCACCATCGAGAATTTCTTCGTCCGGAAACGGTTTAGGATGAAGCACTGCGCAATCACGCCTAAAAGTTTAGAATAGTTGTAAAAACGGCTCTATGTAGAACAAACCAATCGTTCTGACCAACAAGCAAAGTCCAATAGTTGCTGCGATGAAAGATAGATCCCAATAATGGTCCGAGGATACGGTAGAGAGCCCAAGAAATACGAAAACAACCTGGATAATTTGGAAATAGAGTAATTCCTTGAATATCTGTCTCTCTCGCGCGCTCTCTCTCTCTCTCTCTCTCTCTCTCTCTCTCTAACTTTATCTCTCTCTCTCTCTCCACTCACCGTCTCGCTGCTCTGCGCCAGCATTTTCGTGAAATATTTGATGGAGGTCTGCGCTGAATTGGAAATGTTCCCCTTCACATATTGCTTCATGAACATGCCGCAGAATGAGATGCTGAAATTCATCATCTTCCAATTTTTAATATGATACTTACGCCAAAATTGGCGACAACGACACCATCTCGGCGCACAAGTACGAAGCGTACGGTAGCATGAAGACAAAAAGTGGCGCCAGGATTTTTACATTGTGGGTGTACCTTAATAAACACCAATTATCGATTGAAAATGTTTTTAATTACTTTGTAAAAACTGAGGTGAGTAGGGCAAAGATGATTCCGATAGCAATTCCACCGACAGCGACGATGAAAAATGAGGCAACACCTGGAATATTACGATTTTTTGTGTTTCCTGATGTTTCCTAAAAGTATGATTTTTACGCAGCTTAGAATTTTTAGGATGTTTTTACCTCCTGCATAATCTCCAACGTCCAAATTTGTAGGTCCTATCGCCGTAAATGTGCTGAACATTTGGTAGAGCACCTAAAACATGAGTTTTTGTTGTTTTTTAAGTCTTTTCAATCGGTAATTGGCAAAATTTACCACAGTAACACCATCATTGAAAAGTGCTTCCCCGAAAACGTTGATGAAAAGGAACTCATTCACATGAATCTCTTCAAAAATTGCGATTACAGCAACAGGGTCGACGGCCGAGATCAGGGCGGCAAAGATTAGCACCTGGGGGAATTATGTTTTGCCAGTTTTTATAGTTCTAATTGTAATTTAGAAATACGCCGTCAAACTAACCTCAAAAAGCGTAAAGTCGACTTTGAATAGGTGCAACTCCTTGAGACCGTATAGCCCGAAACCTAAAATTGTGCATATAGCTTGGATTTCTCAATTTATTTTTTGTGTATGTTTTTAACGCCTTTTCTTTCTATATTTTGTCTTTTTTTAGTTTGTAATTTTCCAGCTATGCAAATTCTTGTGAAATTCGATGCTGTTAGTGCATGGTCGGGGACAGGCTAAGGAATCGATTCATACGGAGCCAACTTCTCGCATTAATGATAACTATACCGAAAACTATTATTTTTCGCCACTTTTCTCTTCTTTTTCTACCTTTTTATTGCTTTCTGGTCCCATAAAATATTTTGCGTCGGCTCTTCGCGGCCCCTCACCCCGATTATCGATCGATTTTTAGGAGGACAATTTCGGCGAATCGGGCGTTTTCAATGTTTTTGCTCTTTTAAGATACTTTTTGATACTTTTTAGGCTCTCCAAGTCTTTTTTATTCATTTTGGCCCCGTATTACGCTTGCAGAATTTCATAGTGGCCGTCAAAGAGCGCCGGCGCCGGGCGATGCATTGGCGTGCAGCGTCGTTTGACCTCTAAAAACCCCGGGCCGGGGCTCTGGGCAGACCACCACGCGAGCAATATACGCACCGATGACTTTTGCTATTGCCTCCCGATTTTATATTGATTTTCGGTATAGAATAACGTTAAAAACATAGGTAATTTCATTAAAAACAAGATGGCTAGTCTAATTTTTGACTACTAAAGGTTTTCCGGCGTCTTATTTGGTCGTTCGGCGCCAAAACTCCGAAAATCATGATGTTTCATATTGATTTTCCCTATAAAATAACGCTAAAACGGCGCTAATATTGTGAAATCTATATGATGCGTCTATCTTACGTCTCCTTTGTGTTTTTGACCGTTTGATCTTGCCAAGTCTTTGCTAAAAAACCCAAAAGTTCATCTGGTGTGATATTTTAGAGCCGTTTCAAGGGGATTTTATTGACATTGAACCTGGAAAACCCTGGTTTTAGCCAATTTAGATTAGCGAAATCTTTTAAAAGCACATTAACCAGGCTTTGCTGACTACTTGGTTGTTTTATTTTGCAAATTCGGCGCCAATAGCCCGAAATTAATCTGTTTTTATGTTGCGTGCCATTTTTCAATGAGGATTTAGTGAAATTAAACCTGGAATATTCCTATTTTTATGTTCTAGACTGTACAAATCTTTGAGAATACCATCAATCCCCCCATTTTCACTTTCTTTTACGATCAGCTGGCTGAGCACCATCCGAAACCACCGCCTTGCTTGCGGCCCTCTATTGATTTGTGCGCAAACACGCACATGGCGCTTTGCACAAAAATTAGCCCGGGCGTTTCCATGGATTTTCGTGAGTGTGGATTTGTTTTCTACATCCTAGCCCCGTGTTGGGCTTTCTATTTCCGCATAGTTGTTCGTTTCAAAGCAAAATTGATATATTTAATTTCAGATCCCGGCTCATCCTTGAAAAACCGTTCAAAATGAATGGATCGTCGACACCATCGCGCGGCGGGGCCAATGGGGTAAAGGTCTTTACATTTTCACAAAATTGATCGACTTTTTCAGGATCTTAAACCCCCGAAAGGCCCCGAGCGCCCCCTCGTCCCCTACATGAGGTTTTCTAGAAAAATGTGGCCAACGGTGGGTTTGAATTTTTAGTTATCAGCTTCTGGAATTTTTTAAGGTTCGAGCCGATAATCCGGAAGCGCAACTCTGGGAAATGTCGAAAGTGATAGGACAATTGTGGCGCGAGTGTCCGGAAAAGGAGAAGTCCGTCTTCCAAGCTGAATACGAGGCAGAGAAGGTGCGATATTTAAAAAAAATGGCTAGATATAGGGCTTCTTCTGTATTCTTAGGCGTTTGGGAAGCGCAGCTGGGACAAACCGATTTAGGCCAGGATCCCCGGGATTATCCATCCGGCCCCGCATTTCCATAGCGACCAATCATAGGTCGCTCAAGCCCCAAGGGATGAGATTTTTAGCTATCTACTGTTCATTTTTCAATTATTTTTCGTATGGTGTTTTTTAGTTGTGATTACAGATCCGAGAAAAATTTTCGATTTAGCGAGTAGCATTTAAATTTCAGTTTTAATATCTTTTCTAGAGATTTCCTCAGAGCGTGAAGTGAGAAGATAAATTTTGTTAGAAATTTTGCTGTTTTTCGAACGATCGTAAGTATCTAGATCGTAGTGGTGTTCGTATTTTTCTTCTGGGGGTGGAGGGCGGGACATTTTCCCTGAATCGATTATGAAGATCCCAAGCTGTCAAAATATGAGGTGCCGCTATGGAAAAGGAGATTCATTTCTCCTTCCATTTGTCATAATAACCTTTTTTGCGAGTTTGTCAAAACTTCTCTAATCGGATTAGATAAATTTTAACTAGAATTTAGATTTGTACTACTTTAATGGGGGTGGTAGTGAGTGCGGCGATTTGAAGTTAAGCATCAATCACTAGAGGCGGCATTCAAAATGTAGTAAAATCGCAAAGCAGTAGCTAGTTGAGGAGTAGAGTAGACGAATGAAGATTCGATGTCACCGAATCGAATAATAACCCATCCACCCCATTTCGGGGCACTGGGTGCTCGGGGTCCAATAACGACCACTCGGGCGGGCCAGGCATGGGCTCCGCCCGCCCCGGGCACCACCACCAGCGCTACCCCCTCAATCGGTCCTTCCTAATGTTTTTCGCCGATGCCCCCACACATTTCAAATCTTTCACATTTGCGTAGTCATAGGCCTTACTCAAAATTTTGGATTTTCAGGCCGAAACCATCTGCGATTTACTAGAAGAATAGCTTTGACTTGTAGACTAGACTTCAAAAAGCTGTCACGACGTTAAGTTATTTATGGATACCTTGTAATTTCTGTTAAAACGGGCTTTAGGCATCGTTTGAACGTTTTAATTTCGTTTAGAACGTTTCCTTGAGCTCTATTTTAGACAGAATTCGTCAAAAATCAGTCGCCAGCACCACTTTTTTGCAATCGCCAAATTCCCCTTACTCTTTAAGGGGAACTTTTCACAGTCACTGCCTCCAATTCAACCCTTTCACACGCGCCATTTCAACGTCTCAAAAGACCCCTAGCGGGTGGCATAGAGCTCATGTGTTTCGGCCACCGGGCAGCATGAATCACGGCGCGTGTCGCCGGCCAGCGCCAGTGCCCATCCTGGGGCGGTGGCCGAAGCGAGCCGAGATGGCGAATATATTCCGCCCCGGACCCCCTATTGATCCCACTAACGTTCCCATCCATCCACCCGACTGCCCTGACACCTCCCTATCCTATTTAGGGGTTTTAGCGCTTCAACCTCTCTGATTTAGCCAGCTGTTTTTGCACTTTCGAACCCAGGGGTGCAGCTGGCACTCTTTTTCTAGAAACCCCGATTTTTGGCTCCTGATCGAGTGATTCAATATCCGCTTTTTAGGTGGAATACGACAAAGCCATGAAGAGCTTCCAACAGTCGCCCGCCTACCAGTCCTACATGCAGCAGAACAAGGCGCGCCAGCAGCAACAACAGCAAGCCCAACAAGCCCAACAGCAAGCCGACCGCGCCGCCGCCCAGCAGCAGCACCATATGCAGCAAGCACCGCCGATGCCCATGCCAGGAATGACCCCCGGGCATATGAAGCCGATCGAGAAGGTTCGTTGAAAGTTACATTTTTTCTGCCAAGCGCGGCGAAGCCGAAAACTAGCTGGTTTGACTCTTAAGCCTCAATGTTGAAATTGCGAAACTACAACTTTTTTTTAGCTCCACGCGCACCAAATGTCTCGCAGCCGCAACATGGACATGAGCGGCGTCGTCATTCACGCGGTTGATGAAGATGACCAGAGCAGCGAGATGAACATTCGCCGAGCTCATTATGCGAGGTAATAAAGCTTAAATCTGATTTTACAAAGCGGGTCTTAGATATCAACGGAACCAGAACATGATGGCCGAGCTGTTCGGGCCGCAAAGCGCCCAGGACATGCGCACGATTGTCGCTCAGGCTAGGGTGGACATGTTGCGCAAGCAGGTTAGTAAAATTTTACGGAACCTAGTGTTAATCACCGTTTAATAAGGATTAGGATAGTTCTAGATTACTGAGTATTATTTAGGGTCAATCCCTCTCCGGCCATCAGGACAAGCTCAACGACGAGCTGCGCCAAATGGACGAAACGTTTGCCGCCAAGATGCGTGATATCGAGGAGAAGCGCAAGGCTTTCCAGCAGCAGTTGGAAAAGGTAAAAAAGAACCTGACTCCTTGATAACGGCTTTCTAGGTTGAAGCCGAAAAACCGGTGCTTGACGACGCGAAAAAGCAGGAGCTGATTGCCAAATGGGAGGTGAAACTGGTCGAGGAGTACGAGGCCTACAAGAAGAAGGAGGAGGAGATGGCTGCCGCGGCTGCGAGGAAAGGTTTGTCGAATTTTTCTGGTGGATGCCAATTGTTTGCAGAGGAGGAAGCCAAGAACAGCCTACTTGCGTCGATGCTCAAGTCGGAGGAGGACGACAAGAAGGAGAACGAGGAGGTGGGTGAGACGGCTAGCATAGATTTTTGAGGAATCTTCAATATTTTCGCAAATTCTAGAATCGCGCCACCCCGGAAGTCGTAAAAGCCGCCGAGGTGCTGAACGGGAAGGACGAGGAGATGGACACGACCACCGTCGAGACGCCAGCCCCGCAAAATGTGGAAGTAAATTAAAAAATTTCATTTTTGCTGCCTTACTCAACAATCTATGGGCTTTATTGTGGTGCCTTTACATGTTTTGGGTATCGAACAATTTCACTCTCATCTCGAAACGAGCGGCTCTCACTTGTCAATTCCGATTATATGACTCAAATTGGTCCCCGCGTCGCCTTATGTTTTTTAATATATTTTTGTAAGTTTCTCTATGTTCTCAGGATCTCTCGCCGGGCCCCCGCACACACCCACCCATAATATCCATACTGATGATTGTTCACATTTTCAGACGGAAATTGCGTTCTACCTTTTTTGTGTGATCCGATACTGTATTTACGATGGAAATAAAGGGGTTATTTGGGATATGCGTTGAAAAATGCGCTTCCGGTTCCGAAATTGATTATTTAAATGTTCTTGGTTTTGATATCGAATTTTGGAAAAAGGCGCTTGAACTTTTATAGTTCTACGATTTTTCAGTTTTAAAAATGGAAATCAAATTTTAAGCTTTTAAAATTGCCAATTAAGCTGAAAATAACGCTGTCAAAGAAATCAATTGAAAACTTAAGGTAAAAATAACCAACCAATCATGAACGTGTTGAACAAAGTCCCGACGATGGAGAACAGCAAAACCGAGCCCGAATTCTCAAATAGCGCCCGATTCGGCATAAAATAGCCGGCGTCGAAAATAATCGGCGGCAGCAGGAATAGGAAGAACGTCTTGCTCTCGAGGGTGTAGACGGTGAACGCGGCGTGCAGCGCCTAAAAGATTGCTGTAATTTCGAGAGGCATAACATATAAATAAAAATAAAGGTAAGAAAAATAGGGCTCAAGCATGGCAACTCAACTCTTTCGTTGGGTGCTCGATGAACTTTTCCCCGAGGGTCTAAAGTTTTGCTGAAAATTTTAAGGCATAGCTGGGAACCAGATTTTTTATAAGAAAGATCTATCAAATTTTGTTTCCATAGGTAATTTTGCCTAGGTAATTTTCCATAGGTAATTTTGCCCGAAATATTTTGTTCTAGGAAAAAATGTAATGAAAAAGATGGGGGGAGCTGCGTTTCATTTTTACAACTTTTCCGCAACGTTTAATTTGCATCTTCGCTTTACCTTCAGAACCCCTCCCATTGCCAGCCCGACGAGAATCAGAAGCGCGCTTTCCGGGATGTACTTTGAGAGGAAACTGGCGTGGTTGAACAGGATTTTCATCGACGCGGCCATGACGATCCAGATGACGATTATGAGAGGCTCCTTGACTTCATCGTAGTGTAGAGTCACGATCTTCAAATTTTTGAATTAATTTGTACTTTATCGTTATTGGCGTTACAAACTTTAAGAGTTGAAGTTTTTCAATTGTAGACATACCTGAAATCGAGTCGGCTTTTCCTCGGCATCGGAATTTCCGGTAGCTCCGGCGAATAGGCAAAACAGTAGAATTAGGTAAATCCTGGGGTCCATCCAGCTGTTCCAATTCATAATGTTGGTTTTTGGGGTGTTCTGGAATTCGCAAATAAACGTGCAGAGAAGGTCAATGCGAAAAAGATATAAGGCTTCAGAAAACGCGTAAGATTAAAAAAAAATGCGTTAAATGGAATTCGAGGCACGTGACTGTCGATACCTAGTAAAAGGTCGGGTCGATTTTTTCGCCTTCGGAACCCTTTAAAACGTGGGCTTTAAGTGGTACTTTGAATCAGAAAAGGTTACTAAAAATTGAAACGAAAAAAACAGGAATTAAAGCATTGGCCTTATGCAAACGATGAAAGGATACTGTATTCTAGGCACTATTTGACTCCCGAACACAAAACAAACAACATCAAAAACAGGGCATTATCACGTCCGGGGGCGGAAGGGTTAATTGCCCGGAAAAAAGCGGCGTAGCCTGACGTTGCTCGGGTGGTGAATCAGTAGAATAACAATCCAACGATCAGCCGCCAGAAAAGAAAAGAAGTTTGGGCGGGCCGGATAAAAATTAGGGCGGTCTTCTGGTCGGTGGGGTTGATAAGGGAATGGAAGTGAGAAAACATTGAAACTTTCTGGTCTTCCAGGGAAACTGCGGAAATTTGTCATTCTTGGGGGTCTGCCTTTGTTCGAAAATTAAGCTAAAGATGGCTCATCAGAAAGGCGGCTTCCGGTTGGCTACTGGATGTGTGTCCATAGAAATGACGCGTACTTGTGTTACGAGAATTATGCAAACTTGTCTAACTTGATCTGGCTCGTTAATGATTGAGGAAAAGAGAAATACGGGGATTGCTTTTTGCGGGCTTAATGGGACGAAAATTAAAGAAAAAGAACCATAATCAGAAAAGCCCTCGTTGAGAGGATCGCAAAATGGAAAACGGCAAAATCTGCATAAAAAATTACTGAAATATGACGGCGAAAAACCGCGAAGCGGGCCGGCAGCGAGATTTCGGCCAGATTTAAATAAGCGAATATCGTCAAATCACAGCCCTGTGAACGCTATCCGCTATGCCAAAAGCTTGAGGTTAAACTTTTTGACTTCCCAGTTCCTTTACACCCGCGAATTTAGCTCTTTATGCTTCTACAATAAAAAAAAGCCGAAAATTGCAAAAAGGTATTGAAAATCACCACTTCCGCGGCTCGAAAATGATGTGTGAAAGGTCCCAAACCCCGCAGGCCGGTTCACTTTTCTTCCCGCTTTCACCTGGCCCCACCCGCAAAAAAAGCTATTATTTCGGGCGCTGAGCAATACGATCAAAAAGTTGACATGGGCGGACAGGTGGTAGGGTGGGCGGCCATTCCGGAGGGCGCCTAATTGCATTTGTATTTATAAAGACGGCGTGCAGTTATGTGGTTGTTAACGAGTTTTTCGCTCTCGTTCAGTGGTCCGGGGGTTTAAAAAGGGTGGTGACAAGAGGATTTCTGGGGAGGGATAGAGAGAGAGAGAGAGAGAGAGAGAGAGAGAGAGCGAAAGAGAGCGCCAGAGAGATTGAAAGCGTGTGTGAGAGACAGAATTTGAGCAAGAGCATGAGCACCAACAAGAAACATAGAATTAAACCAAAGCCAGGAGCTCCAGCCTTAGAATATCCTTTTCCACCAACGCATAGCTTTCTAGATTTTGTGAATAGTGCCTATCCACCCTCCTGAGGTGACGAAGCAGAATAATAAACAACGTGACGAAGAAGGCTGATGACTAATCGGCTATAATTTATTGTCGGCCACCAAGACATCGTCCAACAATTCTGGCCACAAAATCCTCGAAAAGTCGCGTACAAACGACACCACAGAACGAGAACCCTATAAAAATCTGTAAGTCAGTGGTCCGTCAATATGCATAGCAATCCGACGCCCGAATATCGAAACCTGAGCGCTTTGTATTCCGAAGCAGACGGAGCAAAAATAAATAAAAACGCCAAATTCACCGGGCACAAGCGAAAAATCAAGAATTTTGCCGACTAGCAAACCGGGCAGTGACTGGTCAATCGAAAAATATTTGTCGACGTCTTCTGATGAATCAGGGCGTTCATAGTCTTGTCGTTCATTGGCGATGGACTTTTATGCAAATTTAGATGGGTTTTTCTCACTAAAAGTTATCGATCTCACCTTGCTACATCGCTATGAACCCATTCCATACGTTAGGTGTTGGAAATTCTAGGTTCGTTTCTGAGTCAAAGGTATTTTTATGGGATCTGGAGATTTTTCTTTATCCAATAGCTTGTTTAATAATTAAGAAAAACAGCAATTAAGCAATTGGTGGGTTTTTCCTCGATTTTGGTTGGCGGAAGAGGTCATCTTCTTCGTCGTCAGAAGCGATCGTGAAGTTCGGGTTTGCAAAGTTGCCAGTGGTTTGGATCGTGGTCGATGGGGCGCTCTTAAAAAATTTTTTTCGGGTCATTACGCACGGTTTTCTCTAAGTTACTTAGGCCAAGCCTAAGCTTAAGTCTATTCCTAAGCCTAAGCCTGTTAATAACTTCCTTACCCCTTCCGGCTTATTCGCAGCATGCTGATCCTGGTCAACAAGCACACGCACCGTCTGCCCCTAGGAATACCAAATTAAGTTAAACTTTAAAAATCACCTGGGCGGCCTCCTGGGCCCTGGCCGACTCGGCCGTTTTTCGCTTGCGCTCCTGGTTCTCGAAGTAAACGTATGACAGGCAGCCGACCTATGGAAAACATCATTAAATCCAGGCCAAAAACTCACATGTAAGAACCACACGCTGATCATCAACATCAAGACGGCCACTAGGGAGCAGATGAAGACTAAAGAATGGGTTAGAAGCAGCGTTGAAAAATCGCTTCGCGACTTTTGAGGTCTTTTACGATAAAGCTCAGAAGACCTACAAACACCCATCCTGGAAAGTCGATCCATGGTTGTGTCCTGGATATACTGCTCGGCTTGACGGCTGAAAGGGAAGAAAAAGACAAACATCCACTGGAACGCCATCATCGCCAGGGCGATTGTGATGATCATCTGGATAAAGGAAAATACAATTTTGTATTTTCGTTTGTCCGTCCCTTCCCTCTCAAGCTCTCTCTCTCTCTCTCTCTCTCTCTCTCTCTCTCTCTCTCTATCACTCTCTCACTTCCTCACTCTCTCACTCTCGCTCACTCTCTCTCTCTCCTCTCTCTCACTCGCTCTCTCACTCGATCTCGAACCGACCATTTGCGCAATGTAAGGAGCCAAGAAAATGGCCTTCTCCTTGATCCAGGCGTAAATCAGCGTCACGAGCACGAGGTATTCAAAAGCCTAGAAAATTTATGTTTTTCCAACCTTAAAGCAACTGAAAAGCCCGAAATCCACAGCAAACCCACATCATACAGCGCTTGTCCATACGAGTCGAACACGAATCTCTCGCTGAAAATGTACAACGCGGCTTCGAGGGCTTCTAGGGCTGTGACGAGGAGAATGACGAGGAATAGGGCGAACTAGAAATTTGGTATTTTATTGATGTTGCTTTGTAGACTAAGCCTTGTAAGCTATAATGTGGAAAGCCCACCTTAATGTGCAGACATCTACAACACGTGTACCATCTTGGCTGCTTATCACCGAGCAAAAACACGCCAGCCTGTACCATCTCGTAATCCCAGGTTTAAATTTTTCCGGGTCGGGAAAACGCCCTAAAACAGATGATGAAATATAAAAAAAATGTGAAATAAAATGTGACAAGTTGGCTGTTTTAAGAACTGAACCGCTAAATCGGCTGTTCCGGGAGTGAAATTAGCATATGGTCATGCTGATGGTTTTTAACTTTTCAGAAAGTGTAGCGGATGAAAAGTTTCTTCAAAAAATTTCCTCAAATGGTGAGTTCCGGCCGTTCGACTGACCATAAAATTTTTGACAGCAACAGCTCCAGGCTGTCCGCCTCAAAATATTGATTTTGGGGCGAGTGATAAGGCCGGGCCCAGGATGATAGGAAATATCTAGTCTTCTTGAAAGGTATCTTTAAGATGAAAAGCAGGATTTGTGTGTAAATCATACTATAACATTGGTATAAAGTTTTATTAAAAAGTTATAAAGTTCAACTACAAAAAGTACGATATATCAATAAAACCCAGAAAATCGCTAAAATTCATGCATATAAATTTAGGTTTTTTCTTTTAGTGTTACTACAAGATTAAAGGCGGTCATTTTCGAAGATTCTAACAATTAAGGCTTTATTAAAAAATCGAGAGATAAATAGCGTGACAAAAGCAAAATTAATACGATAGTTCATGCACAATTCATAAGACTTAACGAAACATTTATGTTATTTTAATATTTTTATTCAACAGCTTCCAATCGGAGCAGAGCAGCCATGAGCACGTAATAATCGTGGCAACGGCGCTGAGGAGAGCGGGAGGTCCAGTACGATGTGCCCAAGCTGCATCCGCAGGGGGCTTTAATATCACAAGGATACGCAGCATCTAAAAAAAATGGAGTTTCTGCTTAACTCAAAATATGGCTTTGATCCTGGTATATATAAAAAATAGTGTCTGTGTGTGTGTATATCTGCATGCACTTCCGTTTGGATGTTCCGCACCTACAGCCTCTAGGGAGCATTTTTTCGATAGGGAAGAAATGTCACTATGTAAGGAAGGGACCGGAATCGAGTGCACGCACCGAAAATTTTTGAAACACTGCTATTTTCGCTATTAAAAATCGATTCTTGTAAAATTCTCGGCCACCGCCTTTGTTAGGAAAAATTAAGATACAGCGTAACCGGAGATAGCCTATATAAGGGCACCGAGGAGCCGTTTTTTCACTTTTTTTCTTGCTGGAATTCGAGAAAAAACATGTAAATTGGAGTGTTTCACCGGTTCTAGACGGGGCCAGGGTTGAAAAGCACTGAAGCGGTTTTTCAACCCTGGTAAGGTAATAATGAAAAAAGATGAGGTTAATTAATTCTTGCTCACCTGAGCGCCCATGTACGGGTACAGTACGGCGACCTGTCTGCGAAACAACCCGCAGAGGGACATGAGCCAGAGGCCGATTGAAAGGACGACGGGGACCTGGAGTTTTTTTACTGCTTCTTAGAGTAGTATCGCGCGTTGCATGTCAAAGCCGGAATCCATCGGGATCCAGAGCTAGCAAGACGTGGGAGATGCCTTGCCGGTCCCTTTAATAGCATTCTCACCTTACCGTTTGGGAGAGACGATCGTACTTTGCGGTCCAGTCTTCGTTTTTGCCGGAAGTGTAACGCGCAGACATCAGGTTTTTCACCTGCTCGTCAGCCGCGAAGTACCCCACGAAGATGTCGATGAAGCCGAAGATGCCGTATGCAATGAGGGCCGTCCACTAAAAGTGGCCTCATTTTCTGGGCCGGCTAGCAGAGACAATTAAGGAAATTTCCTGAAATACGCCATGATCCTCTTTACATACCAGCAAATAACGAGGGCAGGTCCGTAGACGTGGCACTACTTCCAGTTGAGACATGGCGTGCGCGTCTGAAAAATGCTGTTATAAAGTGCTTACGGGTTGCGAAAATCGACCCCCTAGAATTGACCAGGTCTCGACAACTACACTCCAAAGTAAACGCTCCGGAACCGAGTCGATACCTAGTCGAGAAGAAGTTGATTTTTGGGATTACGAGTTTTTAAAATACGAGAAAAATAGTCTTACAGCCAGCCTCAAAACCTGAATCCTCTTCTTCATCTTCTTGGGCTGGATTTTCGTAGGCGACGGCTGCAAATTCAAGTTAGTAGTTTTGGTCTCTACAGGTTTTTGCAGCTTACCAGGGGGTTGCGCGGGTGAATTGCCTGGGTTTGGGCCATAGAGGTTATAGGGCGGCTCGGCAGGCATCGGATCGATGCGAAGGCGCAGCTCGTTTTGATTGTGATTTCCGGCTGGATAGATAGGCTGGTAGAATGGAAATTCTGAAGCGCAATATTTGATTAGGTTACGCTGTAAAATTAGCATAAATATACGAAAAAAAATGAGAGAGAGAGAGAGCGGGAGAGAGAGAAAGCGAGAGAGAAAGAGAAAGAGAGGCACAAAGCACAAAAGTTGTTTAAAAACTTTCAGCTGTCATCGAAGCCCAAAAAACTTACCACCAGAATTTTGCGCCGGATTTGCATATGGAGTCGATTGTTGATGGGCTGGATACTCCGGGTTTTGCCCAGGTTGCAGCTGGGGATACCCGCCTGGCGCCTGTGGCGGATGCGGATACGGTGGTGGACCGGTCACGGGAAACTCGCGTAGCTCATAGCCCGTTGGTTGAGACATCTTTGGTGAAGACAATCAAGGAAGGCCACCGAATTCCGGATTCTCAATTTCGGGGGTCGCTTGACGAAATGTTGTGGCTGGTGATTCAGAAGCTGGGGGTAACGAGCGCCCTGAGAGTTGGCGTTTTGATTTTATTTCAACTATTAATGCACGACCTGAAATTTAATAATTTTTTATTTATGTAACAAGGATATGTGCATTTATGGCTATGTAACCACAGCCGCTCGCAATGAATGAAAAAAGAGAATAATGATTCATTATGTTCAACAGCCGATGCCTTAAAACACGACAAGCTATAAAGTTAAAAGAAATTCAGAAGTCACCGGAAGGTTTTTACTTACTTACGATCCAAGGTACTAAAAAATGGAATATTTTATATGTTGAAACAAGTTTACTATCGACATTTCACAAAACAAATTTTCAAATCAAAATATGCGACTTTTTCCAATCGCAGCAAAAAAAACCAAGCACAAGCCGTGAGTGTGGAGGCGAGAGAATATACCGGATATGGCGACATTTCACTGCTTGTTTCTTTTCAACTTTGGGCATGGCGATGGCGGCCGGAAGCGCGACGAGGAAGAGCCGCAGGAACTGTAGATTTATTTTTAAACCAGCGGGGGAGGAGCCGCTTCGCGACTCTCCCCCGCTGGATCCCGTCTAGGCCGCGACCTCATCCTGCGGCCCAAGCTTGAGGGATTAGCCTCCTTTTTTGGCCTGTGGCGCCAGCTTGAGCGGTTTGCTTCAAGATTAAGCCTGCGGCACAATTTGAACGGTTACCTCCTTCTTTAAGCCTGCGACGCTAGCTTCAAAGGTTGGATTCATCCCTTAGCCTGCGGCGCTAGCTTGTGCGGCTAGCTTCGTTCTAAAGCCTGCGGCGCTAGCTTGCGCGGCTAGTTTCGTTCTAAAGCCTGCGGCGCTAGCTTGTGCGGCTAGCTTTGTTCAAAGCCTGCGGCGCTAGCTTGGGCGGCTAGCTTCGTTCTAAAGCCTGCTGCGCTAGCTTGCGCGGCTAGCTTTGTTCTAAAGCCTGCGGCGCTAGCTTGTGCGGCTAGCTTCGTTCTAAGGCCTGCGGCGCTAGCTTGGGCGGCTAGCTTTGTTCTAAAGCCTGCGGCGCTAGCTTGCGCGGCTAGCATCGTTCTAAAGCCTGCGGCGCTAGCTTGTGCGGCTAGCTTCGTTCTAAAGCCTGCGGCGCTAGCTTGTGCGGCTAGCTTCGTTCTAAAGCCTGCGGCGCTAGCTTGTGCGGCTAGCTTCGTTCTAAAGCCTGCGGCGCTAGCTTGTGCGGCTAGCTTCGTTCTAGAGCCTGCGGCGCTAGCTTGTGCGGCTAGCTTCGTTCTAAAGCCTGCGGCGCTAGCTTGTGCGGCTGGCTTCGTTCTAAAGCCTGCGGCGCTAGCTTGTGCGGCTAGCTTCGTTCTAAAGCCTGCGGCGCTAGCTTGTGCGGCTAGCTTCGTTCTAAAGCCTGCGGCGCTAGCTTGCGCGGCTAGCTTCGTTCTAAAGCCTGCGGCGCTAGCTTGTGCGGCTGGCTTCGTTCTAAAGCCTGCGGCGCTAGCTTGTGCGGCTAGCTTCGTTCTAAAGCCTGCGGCGCTAGCTTGCGCGGCTAGCTTCGTTCTAAAGCCTGCTGCGCTAGCTTGCGCGGCTAGCTTTGTTCTAAAGCCTGCGGCGCTAGCTTGTGCGGCTAGCTTCGTTCTAAGGCCTGCGGCGCTAGCTTGGGCGGCTAGCTTTGTTCTAAAGCCTGCGGCGCTAGCTTGCGCGGCTAGCATCGTTCTAAAGCCTGCGGCGCTAGCTTGTGCGGCTAGCTTCGTTCTAAAGCCTGCGGCGCTGGCTTGTGCGGCTAGCTTCGTTCTAAAGCCTGCGGCGCTAGCTTGTGCGGCTAGCTTCGTTCTAAAGCCTGCGGCGCTAGCTTGTGCGGCTAGCTTCGTTCTAAAGCCTGCGGCGCTAGCTTGTGCGGCTAGCTTCGTTCTAGAGCCTGCGGCGCTAGCTTGTGCGGCTAGCTTCGTTCTAAAGCCTGCGGCGCTAGCTTGTGCGGCTGGCTTCGTTCTAAAGCCTGCGGCGCTAGCTTGTGCGGCTAGCTTCGTTCTAAAGCCTGCGGCGCTAGCTTGCGCGGCTAGCTTCGTTCTAAAGCCTGCGGCGCTAGCTTGTGCGGCTAAGTACATTCTAAAGCCTGCGGCGCTAACTTGAGGGATTGGCCTGAATCTTTAGCCTGCGGCGGTAGTTTCAGTGCCTGTCTGGATTCGTTAGCCTGCGACGGAGTTTAGAGCGACTGACTTCAGAATAGCGCCTCCCTACAGGAAAATACACCTCGAAACATGCATTCCGAGCATAAAGCAAAAAAAAAATACGATAGCCGGGGATCGAACCCCCGATAGCAAGATTGGGAGGCTGACGCTTTAACGACTATACCATGAAATGCTTGGGAGCGCGCGCGCAACACCCCTTGTATGCCCCGAGGTGACTGCCGGGAAAGGGAGCAAAGGCAATCGGAGGAGGGTGACCAATGCGCGCAAGCATTTGCGCCAACGACATTTACGCGCAACGACATTTGCGCGCAACGACAATTGCGCCTAACGACAATTGTTTGTAATGGTTACAATGTTTGTAATTGTTTGTGATGCCAACGCATAAAATGGGTGTTCTTCTAGGTTTCTATGCTTTTAAAAATTTGTTTTGCTAATTTAAACCTTGCTAATTGCCGTTAGGCGCAATTGTCGTTGCGCGCAAATGTCGTTGCGCGCAAATGTCGTTGCGCGCAAATGTCGTTTCGCGCGAATGTCGTTGGCGCAAATGTCGTGCGCGCATATGGTCTCGGCGCAATTGCAGGAGCGCAAAAGTCGTTAGGCGCAAATGCTTTCGCGCATTGGTCACCCTCCCAATCGGAGGCCGTTCCAATGAGGCAGCCAAACGCGCGAGTGCAACTGGCAAGAATGAGGAAATTTGTATTTTCTCGCATTATGCAAATTAGCCCTCAGGGACCCCCAAAAATGAATAAAACCGGCCTTAACTTTGTAAACTTGTATTTTATCGAAATTCTGAGAACGCCATCGGAAACAGAAGGGTCGATTCCCCCGGGTGACGGAGAATTAGGGCATTTTATGCACGGGAAGGCCCTCAAATCGGGCCTCGAAAGTGACATCCACACACACACACACACATACGCGACCAAATTATATAAGGTGGGACAATAACAAGCTATGTAAATCTCTTCTTGACGAAAGATTTTGTGCCTAGTATGGTCGACAGTACACCGTATTACAGCTTGAGCATCAGAAAACGCTAGCTAGGATGTGACTCATCAATAGTGACAGCTTAAAAATACCAAACCACCTGGCAAACCATATACGGGCAGATGACGATGACCTGCTTACGGCACAACCCGATCAATGAGATGATCCACAGCCTGATAGATAGGCCGGGCGGCAGCTAAAGAATTTTTGGGTATCTGAATGTGTCAACTTGACGTTGATGAAACCGATATCTTGATCAAATTAAAGCTTGGTTGGTAATTTTCGTCTTGGGGTGGTGCGAAACTGACCATAAATATGACCTTTGAATATTCATCCTCCGACAACGTGTGATAGGGGCTCAGCTTTTTCTGTTTTTCCTCAAAACGCGCGAGAAGTGCCTCAATGTCATCCGAAGACGAAGACCAGCCGAGGAAACAATCCACGAGCCCGGCCACCATATAGGCGGTTAGTGCCAGGAACTAAAGATGTTGAGCTTTGCGGGGCTAGAGTACGTGAGAGAGGGAGAGGGAGCAAGAGAGCGTAAGAGCGAGAGCGAGAGAGAGCTATCAGGAAAAGGTATAAAGGATATTCTGAACAAACCATCAAAGCGCGTGCACAACCGTGGTGGCCTTTCGGAGGCACATACGGTATGGTATTACGCTGGACTATAATGAAATTTAGTAAAACTATTAAAAACTGGACAACAGTCGGGTTCAGGCGGCTGGAAATACCCTTCAGAACAGTATTGATCCTCATTTGCATAGGACCCTGCGTCTAGAAGCAAAGATTTCGCGATTTTCAACGGGTTGACTTTGTTTCGTTGAGCGTAGGCTTGGGCAGCGTGGGTGGCTTGGTACCCGTATTGTTGATAGGGCAGCGCCCTCGCAAGTGATGGGTTATACGGAGCGTCCGTGACCGGGTACGGATACGGAACAGTGGCCTCTGAATTTTTAGTTACTTCCTAATATCCGAGTTTTACCTCCCAAATTCGGAGCCTGATTTGCATACGGAATCTCAGGTTGAGCCGGCGGCGGGTGAGTCGGATACAGGTCATGCTCAGGTGGATGAGATGCATCAGGAGCCTGTGGCCCTACGAGATATGGTTTTTTCTCCATTACCGAAGGCATCGTATGACATGCAAGATTTCCGGATTTTGACCAAGTTGAAGCTGGGGACTGGCTCCTTGAGCTTGTGGAGCATACGGATAGGATGGCGGCCCGTTCAATGGAAACTCTCGTAGCTCATAATCGGTCGGTTGCGCCATATTTTGTGACGGCAATCAAAAAATGCCAGCAAATTTCCGATTCTCATTTTCACGCCGGGCCACTCACTTGTCCGAATGTTGTGGCTAGTTAGTCAACTGGGAATGACGAACCCAATCGGCAATAGACAAATTCTTGTAATAAAATAATTAATGTGGGACGTTATTCCGAGGCTTTTTTTGATGGTGATAAAGCGCACGGATGGGTCAAAATGCTCGGTATTTTTATATATTTTTATTTTTATTTTTAGTTTATTTTTTGCAAGCTCGAGCTTTATTATCGTTTGGGCCGTTGTCAGCTTTAGTGTGCTTCGATCAATGGCGTGGCTTTTTCCAATCACAGGAGAACATCCAGGCACACGCCGTCAGGGTGGAGCCGATGCTGTAGATGACGTAGTCTTCCATGGCTGCTATAGCCGGTTTTTCTTCCTTATCGATCGATAATGCAATGGGGCGGGCCAGTAACCAGAGACGAACAAACTGAAATTTTAAGGTTTGCATGCTTCGGAGTCAAAAGTAAGCCGTTCTAGTACAAAAATTAAATATTTTTGGAATGCCATACCAGCCAAAGCACAGGCTTCGAATTAGGCTTAGGCTATAGATGGGTCGGGGCCTGGGGGCGCCGCCAAATGCCCCTCTCGAGGAGCCTTTTGGGGGCGTCTTGGGTGGGGCCGGGGGGGCGCCGTGGGTGGGGCATTTTTCCGGTATGCAGCGATGTGAATTGCAAAAAAGTCATCTGAAAAGCGTTTTTTCGCAATTTGCATCGCTGCATCGAGAGGGGAATTTGGCGGCGCCCCCAGGCCCCGACCCATATATAGCTTAGGCTTAAGCACAGACTTAGGCCGAGGCTTAGTATTAGGTTTAGGTTTAGCGTGGGCTTTGGCTTATTAGGCTTAGGTTTAGCCTGATGCTTGCCCATACCTGACAAGCCATATACGGGAAAATCGCGATCACTTGTCGCTGTCCGAGCCCGATGAACGAAATGATCCACAGAACTATCGAGAGCCCGGCGGTCATCTGAAAAACCATTGTTCCGTCGGGGGGCTATGCTGTACTGACCGTGGCCGCGAGATAATCCAATTTCAGTATGGCATAGTTTCCTGCTTTCGGACTATCATACGCGCGAAATGCCTTTGCTGCTGGTGAATCGTAGGCAGCAATCCAGCCGACGAAGCAGTCGGCGAATCCGGAAAGCATGTACGCTGCCAAGGCGAGGAACTAAAATTTTTGCGGGAGAGGTGTAGAGGGAGAAAGAGTGAGAGAAAGAGAGCACGAGCGAGATATTCGGAAAGTTGTAACTCTTAAAGTCGTATACCATCAACAGCTGAGCGCAACCGGAGCGACTAGGTCGTGGCTTCACGTATGGTACCGTATTGCGCGGTTCCTGCAGGTATCCCGGTGAGCAGTATTGAGCCTCATCTGCGTAGAGCTCAGCTGCAAAAGTGAAGCGTAGCTTTTGAAGCGCTTGTTTCTGAGGTTAACCTGGAGCATATGGCTGTGACGCCCGGTACTGGTGATAGGACATATCCATCGGAAGTGGCGGATTATGAGTGGAATCCGTAGTCGGATACGCGTATTGCACAGTGGCATCTGAATTTTAACTACTTTCGCTTGCTCAAGTGACACAGACCTCCGGAATTTTGCACCTGATTTGCATAATGCGCCGAAGCCGTAGTAGGAACCGGATACGGTAAATAATCTATAGAACCTAATCGTAGATGACTAAATACATTTATATTACGTTTTTCAAACAAATACTGTATCCTGAAAGCTTGAGGTATAAGTTCGAAAGCTACTCAAACCGAAGTCAACCCGAATGGACTTTACCTCCCGCATTCACCGCCTGATTTGCGTACTGAGCCTGTTGTTGGGCTGCCGGATAAGCCGGAATTTGCTCCGGCTGAAGCTGAGGATAGGCCCCAGGAACCTGCTGCCCTTCCGGATACGGTAGAGCTTCCTTAGCCGGCAGGCCCTGTAGCTCGTAGGACGTCAGTTGCGCCATTTTCTCGAAGAAAGTTGAGAATGCCTTTGAATTCCTGGCTTCCCATGTAACGCCCGGCCCGTTGAAGCCATTCTTTTGGCTACATGATTCAGAACTTCCAGGAAGGGGCGATTGTTATTAGTGGGTCAGTCGGGAAGGAAGTTTTAATGAAAAAATGATGCCGCCTCGGCGCCGCTCCGAAATCTGATTAGCACACATAATTGCTGACAATTTTGATATTAAGAAGTTATTGAATTTCTCGATTTAGAAGTGATTTACATAAATCATGACGTCTCAATTTGGAAAAGTGTCTTTTTAATTTTGGCTAAGCGTTTCAAAAGAGAAACCCATCGAAATTGGTAAAATAAAACTTAATTTTGCTCAGAACTTTTTAGTTTACAATATTTTCCTTTCAAAATATGGCTGTATATACTTTTTATGTGCCCCCATCGCTGGTAGAAATTTGCAGTCTGCTGGCAGGCTGATGGCCGAATGCCGAGGGGGGGGTTGGAACACCACGTAGTTCAGCCGTCTAAATATGAGCCGGAATTTTCAGCAACCACATGGAAACCAGGCTGCCGTTTTGTTTTGTATGAGGCGAAAAATATGACGTGTTGATACTTGCAGTACTGATGCTTGAATGTTTATCACTCCATTTCGAGGAGGAGAGCTTAGGCCTTGTGGGCGTAACGCCTGGGGCAAGGGCAGTAGTTGGCGTCGCGGCCCTGGGATCCAGGAGATCCAGGGTTTCCGTCGTGTCCTCGAGCTCCAGGGGCTCCGGGGCCTCCAGGGCGTCCAGATCCTCCGTTCTGTCCGGGCTGGCCAGGGGCTCCAGCGGCTCCGTTGTCTCCGGCAGGTCCCTAAAAAACCGTTTTCAAGAGTTAAGATGAAAGAACACCAAAAACTTACACGCTCTCCAGCACGTCCAGGTCCTCCAGTGGGTCCCTGAGGTCCGGGGACTCCACGGCTTCCGGGGGCTCCGTTGTTTCCGGGGGCTCCAGGGGCTCCATCCTCTCCAGGGTGTCCATCCTCGCCAGGGGCTCCAGGGGCTCCGGGGCCTCCAGATGAGGATTCTCCGTCGCGGCCAGGCTCTCCGTTGTCTCCACGAGGTCCAGGGAAACCAGGGGCTCCGGGCTCTCCGGCCGGTCCGGACGGGCAACGCTTGCAACCCTCCTGAAAAAGGCGAGATTAGGGTCGAAGTAGAGAGAGGGGGAGGAGAGTGACACTCAAAACTTACGGAAACGTGACGGTGCTCCTCGGGAACCACTCCAGGGGCTCCAGGGGTTCCGCGGCCTCCAGGGGCTCCGGGGTATCCGTTCTCTCCGGGAGTTCCAGGGGGTCCGGGAGGTCCAGCGGGGCAACGATTGTAGGAGTCGCACTGGCATTGGCCACCTCCGTATCCGCGGTCGGGGCTGGGAGGAGCAGGAGAAGCCCGAGGGGGTCCGGCCCATCCTGAAATTAAAATATAAGCTTAGGTTTTCCCGATAGTGAGCCAGCGAGGGAGAGAGAGAGGGAGAGAAAGATAAACTCACCCCATCCGTTGTTCTGCTGCTGGTGTCCGTTGCGACGGTGCCAGTCCTCCCAAGCGTCACGGGCCACACGAGCGCGGCCGACGTTCTTGCGGGCAAGCTAAAAAAATTAGAATCTGATTTTTCAGGTTTTCGATACCTTGAGCTGCTCGACGATCTGCATCTCCTTGACCTGGAAGTGGTCGCTCATGCGAGCAACCGTTACGCGGACCTCTTCGATCTGAAACAGCGTTTAAGCTCTTTCATTTGTATTTTCTAGGCATAGCTTTTTAGAATCTTGTTCTAGACATTTTGAAAATCTTAAAAAAATTACCTGGCCCCAGAGGTACGGGGTGTAGAGAAGGCAAGTGAGGATGGCGACCCCAGAGCCCACAGAGGAGGCCCAACCGAGGATCGACATTTCTAAAGACAAATGAATTTATTTGACGCCAATGTATTCTAAAGTAGGGTAGGCTTAGGCTTATGTTTAATCTTAAGCTTAAGGTTCGGAAACAAATTCGAAAAAAAATTAATTAAAAATAATAGAATTTAATCCACACTTAACTGTAAGCCAACTTACTTCCGGGAGCTGTCAGGACGAGTCGAGAAAAGCTCTGATTTCTCCAGCCCCGTGGCCCCCCTTTTATAGGCCCCCGAACCGGTTTGGAATTTTTCGGCTCCGGTATTTCGTCGCACCATGCCCAAGAGGCCCCTTTTCAGGGGGTTGCCGGCAAAAACGCTCATCAGTAACACTGCCCTGACCGGGCAGCCCTCGGCCCCCGTCGGGGCGCGGATCCTCCTTCCTGGATACACCTGCCCGTTCGGGGGGTTCGGCGCAGAACCGAACAAATTTGTGAGCAGCCGGTTGCTGCTCGATCCTGTTGCTTGATTTGGTGGAAATGTTGAAAGTGGAAACGAATGAACATGTTTTGGGTACTAGGCGCCGCTGGTCACTCAAAACTTGAAGGAATGATGGATGCACCGAAAGTTGATGAAAGCTAGGGATAGAGTAAAAATTTTTTTAAATTAGAAAATCTAAAAAACCAAAAAATATTTTTAAAGCCTTGAATTAAAAAGCCTAAAGCGTTGAATCCCAAGTGTGTGTTTTAACGAGACGAAAAGATGAAAAACGTGGGAAAATAAATCGTCTGGCAGTTCTTCCAGGCTTCCAGTTTTTTTTACGAAAGCTTTAATAGTTTCGAAGGTTTTCTAATTTTTCTCAATTCACAAAATTTTTCGGACGCGTAGAAATACATAATTTACACATTCAATTGTCGATTTTGTGCATGTGATCAAAGCATAGTTGGTCATCACTCTATTAGATGATCGTTGGGTTCCGGACTTGACGAGTTTCTTGAGAAAAACGCATAAAACGGACGCTCCGTGAGATTTTTCCCCGAAATTCGAAATTTCACTTTTTATCTCCTACAACTTCAGAGCCCGATCTTTTTTCGGATTCCTACAGCTACAATTTGCAAAACGTATGATGTTGACGGCCATTCGTAGGCTGTTTCCTCTTTCCGGCCCACTCGAGCAGGTGTTTTTTTGTCAGGCAAAAAGTAATGCCACGTATGACCTTTCTTAACCCAACCTCGCCTCCCAGCCACAGTCCAATCAGGCCGTATTCCTAAAAAGGGTTCAATGCAGCCCCAGGTCATTTCACTTGAGGCCAGAAAGTGGTTTCCATTGTTCCACATCCGGTCCATCCCTCACTAGGTCTCCGATCCACAAAATCGATAAGTTGCCGCCTGAGGGGGGAGGAAGAGCCGAGTTTCTGGAATAGGACAGAACCTGCTCCAGCAGCCCGCAGGCGAGGGTCAGAGTCGTTCGCTTGAAAAGCGGACAGCTCTCGTCACGTACTCCAGCTGTTAGCCTTGTCTTTGTAGCCTGGGCAAAAACCCGCCTATTTAGTATTGAAACTCCCTGATTTTTTGGTATTATCTAATGAAATTATTTATATCATCTTCATTCAAACTTTCAGGGTGTGTCGGGCCTGTGATGGCGCCTCACAACAATAATCCAAGCGGTAAGGCGTTATTTTCTAATTTGAGAACATGTTTTACACCTTCTCTCGTCAAAATCAGTCCAACTCTTGACTCGGAAATTTTTCTTCCAAATCCTCTAGTTCCGTGCGATTTTATAACCCTGATTCCCAAAACCCCGATAACCTATCAACAATCCCAATCTGGTCTGGAAAATTACCATGGCTGGCGCACGAAAAAATCCGAGATTTCCAAGGGGTACGGTGTCCTTATAAATGCGACATGGTAATTCGACTTTTCAAAAAAACTGACTGGAAATTTTTGTAGTTTACATGACAAGGGTTCCGGTTTTCCTTCTAAGTAACCGGACATTCGCGCTGGAAATTTCCTACCGGCCGGAATGTCTCGTTCATCCGGTAGGCCATATGCAAATTTTGCACCCTATTTCATTTTTCTTCGGACAAAATACAAATTTCATGTTTCAGTGGTGCTCGTCACCGGCGCGAGCGGCTATATCGCGTCCCATTGCGTCAAGCTGCTGTTAAATGAGGGATATACGGTATTTCTGGCCTTTCCCTATATTTGAAATATTTGATTTAGGTTCGGGGCACTGTGCGCTCGCTGAAGAACCCGAAAAAAGTCGACCCGATCAAGAAGTTGGACCAGGATGGGCAGCTCGAGCTCGTTGAGGCCGACTTGATGGATGCGGATTCGTGGCCAGAGTGAGTTTGTGTGTTATTTTTCGTAGTGAATACTTTCTAAGAATGAATTGAATCTTAGAATGCGCAAGTATTCATCTATTTCAGAGCTGTCCGGGGTTGCGACTACGTGCTCCACGTTGCTTCTCCATTCCCAATCGTTGCTACAGAGGAGACCATCAAGACAGCGATTTCTGGGACTCTAAATGTGTTAAAGGTAAGTGCTTTTTTTTCTTCTTTTTCCCTCTCTTTCTCTCTCTCTCTTTCTTTCTCTGTCTCTCTCTCTTTCTCTCTCTCTTTCTCTCTCTCTTTCTCTCTCTCTTTCTCTCTCTTTCTTTGTCTCTCTCTTTCCCGTTTTCTCGCGCTGAATATTACCAATCTTCTAGGCCTGCCAAAACGAGCCGAGCGTGAAGAAAGTTGTCCTCACCTCGAGTTGTGCCGCTGTAAATGGTGCGTTTAGGCTTAGATAGGCATAGACTTGGCTAGGCTTAACCTTATGCTCAGTTTTAGACCCCGCTTATCTTTCACGAAGCAAATTTCCAATTTTCAGAAGGCAACGACCCCCTCCTCACCTACGACGAGACGAGCTGGACGAACGTCGACAGCCCGGCCGTCGATTTCTACGCGAAGAGCAAGACTCTCGCCGAAAAGGCGGCCTGGGAATTTGTTGATAATATTAAGGAGGGAAACAAGTAAGTAAAGTCGAAAAACCTTTTCAAAATCGACTCCCAGGTTCAAGCTGACCACCATCAATCCCACTCTGGTCGTTGGGCCGCCACTTATTGACGAGCAGGGCGCTAGTATTACCGTAAGTTGGTGGTTTCATAAATTAGAATGATGGAAAAGCTATAAAAACTTATTTCTCAAATTTAATTTTCAATTTTTAGGTTATTCGGCGATTCTTGAACGGCGAGATGCCGGCTGTACCTGCGTTGTCTTTGGCTCTTGTTGATGTTCGAGACGTTGCAAAGGTAATTTTTCGAGAGAGAGAGAGAGAGAGAGAGAGAGAGAAAGTAGAGATGGAGGGGAGAGAGAAAGAAACATATTCTTTTCAGGCCCACGTCGAAGCCATGCACCGCCCGGAAACCGACGGTGAGCGCATCCTCTGCACCGCCCAGCCCTCCTTCTGGTTCCGGGATATCGCCCGGGTTTTGGGAAAAGAGTTCAGACACCAAGGTAAGCCTTAACCTTCAAAATGATTGCTACATAGCATTATTTAGGTTATTGGGTGCCCCGCTACCAAGTACCCTATTTTGTGATCTACATTTATTCCTTCATCGACGCGCAGGCGGCCGCCATTTTGAACCGCGTCGGCTTCAAGGTGTTGTTCAGCAACGAGAAGGTGGGTTTTGAGAACTTATCAAATGTGCCTGCCAATTTCTCTCTCTCTCTCTTTCTCTCTCTCTCTCTCTCTCTCTCTCTCTCTCTGTTGTCGGTCTCCGTTCACTCTGAATCTTAAAATTGGCAATGGTTAGGCAAGCGAGACCACAAAATAGTGCCAGAGAGGACGAGAGTGAGAACGAGAGAGAGCGAGAGAGAGAGAGAGAGCGAGAAAGAAAGAGAGAGCTAGCGAGTACCATACGGCGCAAATATACAATATTTCCAGGCCAAACGCCTGCTCGGCCTCGAATTCCGTGACCCCTCCGATTCCCTCGCCGAAATGGCCTACCACCTCATCGAACGTGGCATCATTCGGAAAAAGCCCGGCTACACCGGCATCCCCGACAAGTACAAGCTCGCGTTGTAATAAATTGTTGTTCATTTAATTCTCATCCGATTCTTTATTTATATATACCGGTAAGTAGTATTTACATGCCGTCGGACGTACTCTCAGTTTGCTCGAACATCGGAAACAACCCAGAAACAAAGTTGCAAAAAACGACGATTAGAATTGGGGGTTTGGGGACGGGACCTAAGCTACAAATCGGTCAGAAAATAGCATTTTACGCGGCTCGGGTACGGTATGCAAAACAACAGATTGGAAACGTTAAAAATACAAATTGACGGCTGATCCTATAGTCTAGGCACTTTACAAGTACAGAATTGGAGCTGTTTCCTTGCTATAACTATTTCGAGAAGGGAGGTATCTTAACTACGGTATTGTAGTACTAATTTAGAAAATTCACCTTTAGATATATAGAAGTTAGGGAAGATGAATATCACAGATGGCGATATTTGTAACAGGAAATTGAGACGGCGATTTTTTTTGTTTTAGATTTTTGTGGGTTCAAGATCTTTGGAATTGTCCTTTTTGGCTTTTTGGAAAGAATTTGAAGAATTTTCCAGTAATCTCTTGAAGTTAAAACTTTAACGAATGTTCAGTCAAAATCACCGCCCCAAAAAGTCACCACGAAAAATCCGGGAGCGGGAAACAAACAACCTATCGACTATCTTTGGCGCGGTCAGCGGGGGTAATGGGGGTGAGCGTGTAAGTAGGTGTAAATGGTAGTCCTTAAAATTTTCTCATTATCTGGCAAGAGTTCCGATGAGTGATGCGCACATCTCGAAGAATTGCATAGTTTGCGAGACCTTGGCGGGTTGGCCCGGCGATGGAGGCGGGGTTTCAACCTGAAGATTGTTTCTTAATTTCTGCCAATTTTATATGTTACTTAGTTGGTTAAAATAGCCATCTGAATGCATTAACACCTTTAAACTTCAATTACAAAAAAAGACTATAAACTACAACTCACATCAACGGGCATCGGAAGAGAAGAAGCTCTGCTGTTCCGGAGAGCCGGCTTGCTGGCAAGGGAAATTGAAGCGTGGCGGGAGGAGCTGGCAGAGTTTGCTAAAAATGGAAGATGTTTGCTCTCTCTCGCCCTCTCTCTCCCTCTCTCTCTATCTATCTCTATCTCTCTTGCTCACTCTCTCTCAGAAAATTTCGACTTACATTCTTCTTCCACCAAGCTTTTAAAATCGAGCAAGTAGCTCTTGTTGTCGACCAAATACAGCTGAAGCGACATCCTTGGCGGCTCGCTCGTTGGGTTTTCCGGTTTCCGGCGCACAATGATGTGATAGGGGTTGAGGACCTTAAAGAAAGCGTTTCTCCAACATCCTTTCAAAAACGGTCTTGCCCTACGCCCCAAGCATGCACCCACCTTCCATTCAAAGTCCAGCGCCTTCATCGCCCTGAACACCTCGAACATGATGTCCTCGGGTCGGCTCTGACTCCTGATGCCGAGATGCCACTTTGCCCGCTTGACGTGAGGGAGCTTCACTGGGGAGATGGCGTCCTTTTGGAATTCAGCAGCTGCTGCTGAGTTTTCGAGGGAGGCCGTGATCTTTGCACTGACTGCGGCTGAAAGAGGGTTTTGTCGATGATCTAAGCCGTTTCAGCTAGAGAGCGCAGAAGAGAGAGACAAAGAGACATGGGTGGGGAGAGAGAGAAAGAGAGAGATAGAGGGAGAGTGAGATAGAGAGATCAACCTACCAGAAATTCGCTCGGGATGCCTGGCTCCATCCCTGTTCGACGAGTTGACTTCGTAAAAGTCATCAATCGATAGTTTTGCGGCTAAATTGCTATTATTTTTAAGCTCAAATGTGCCTACTCTCATCAGCAATCCTCTTGTTATCTACAATCAAGTTGTAAGCGATTGAGAGATGATGGTGTGGATCGTCACCAAGCAGTGCAGAAGTTACCTCCTCTTCTGGGACGTTGTAGCGCTAAAAAAACAATCGTGTATTAAAATATACATCGTAAGTTAGAAGGACTTTAAAAACGAACAACAACTTACCTCAGTAACCTCCCTAACAGCTTCAATATCGACAATACTGGCTTCGGACTCGTTGACGGGTGGGAAAAGGTAGGCTGGGAGTTCTTTTTGGAACCAGTCATGAGCACTGAAATGTTAAGATAGAGAGGGAGAGAGGTAGATAGGGAGAAAGAGAGAGAGAGAGAGAGAGAGAGAGAAACGCTAGCTTCAAAAACTCACATGACTTGCTTAATCGTAGCTCGCTTCATCGGATCAACCTGAAGCATGTGGGTGAGCAGATGAACTGGCTGCTTCTCGAGGTAGTCGGGGATCGGGAAGACACCGGCTGAAAATCAGGCCTTAGAGAGTTTGACAGGGCTAGCTGACTATGTAAGTAGGCTAGGTTAAGCCTCAGAAGCTTAGCTAGCTTGCTGACTCGCTTAAACCCTACCCTTGATCTTCCTGAACAGCGTGGGGACGTGCTCGTCATCGAAAGGTAGGGTTCCGCAGAGAAGGGCATACAGGATGACACCACAAGACCAGACGTCCACTTCCGGTCCGGCGTAGAGCCTGAAAATTGTATTTTTCATCGTGCCATTAGCTTTATGACTAGTTTAGATGAGTCAAGCCTCAGCCAAAGCTAAAAACTATGCTAACGCACTTTCCACTAATAACCTCAGGAGCTGCATAATTCGGCGAGCCACAGCTCGTTCTCAAGAAATCACCATCCGTCATAATGTTGGAAAGACCTAAAATTTAATCGCAATCAAACTATTTAATTTTTCCCTACCAAAATCAGCAATCTTCACATTCCGGTGCTCATCCAACAGCAAGTTCTCCGGCTTCAAATCCCTGTGGACGACCATGTGACGATGGCAATAGTCGACGCCGGAGATGATTTGTTGGAAGAAGCGCCGGGCTTCGGGGACCCGCAGCTAAAAGTATGTAGGCTAAAAGTCAGCTACAACCCCTTACCCTTCCATTTTTGACGATATATTCGAAGAGTTCTCCTCCGGAGACGTACTCCATGATCATGAAAATGTCGGTGGGAGTGGAGATTACTTGGTATCTGAAAAACGATGGTTAAACCGTAGCTTTAAAGGGAGGATGACACGAAAAAGCGCACAAATTAGCCCAGCTCACAGGGCCACGCTAGACTCCTTCGAACGCGGTTTTGTGCGAAAATTAAAATGCGGATTTTTGTAACAAGATGGCACTAACGGCAGTTTCGCCATTTTGTTTATCTTTTTGGCTTAAGCGCCGTATCTCGGCTCCCTGTTTATCTACAGGTGTGTAAAGTATACCAAAATGTTTGTCCTGCTCGGGCGAGTATTTTGGTATACTTTACACACGTGTAGATAAACAGGGCGCCGATATACAAAAGTTGGGTGCCGGCTGGGGGACTGCACTCTAACCATATTCTTATGCAAGTTTTCTAACTTTTTCGAAATTTTTGTGACTACACAACCTTCCAACTTACAGTCGAATAATGTGCGGATGACGGAACAGCGACAAATTCTGAATCTCCCTCCGAATCTTCCCGACAACATCCAGCGTCTTGATCTTTTGCCGGTTCAAAATCTTCACAGCCACCTTGTAGCCGGTAACTTCATGGATTCCCACTAAAATACATGGCCTGCATTTGTACTTTGGAGCCTCGCGTACCTTTCACCTTTCCAAATGTCCCAACTCCAAGCGTATCCTTTAGCACGTAATGCCCAATTTTGATCTGCGGCTTCTCGGCCTTCTCGCGGCCCTCCGGTACCGCCGAGGATGACATTCCGGTTTGACGGTTTTTCCTGGAAACATACAGGTTTCATTGATTGTTTAATCAATAAATGGAAAAACAAAAATTGGTCATGTAATTTACATGACTTTTGAAAAACCAGGCTTACTTTTACGGTTTAAAATTAGCCAAAAATTAAATTAAAAACTCCCCACGGTCTCCAATTATGCTTTTTAGTCAATATTGACAGCATCAAGAATCCAGGAAGTTGGACAATATTTTTGAAAATCAAGAAAAACAGACAAAATCTTTGCGTTCCCCCAAGAACTGTCGTCGGTCCCGCTACGTCGTGCGGGCAAAAGGGCACTCGTGGAAATAATAATAAAAACAGCTGGGCTGGGGTACGTTTCGGGGCTGAGAAAAAATATCAGAAACTTTAACACCTCTTTAATTATGCCATTTCATTAATTTATCTTCCCGAGATTTCTTTTCCTCAAGATTTCAAAAAATTATTAACTTTTCAAAAGGGATTTACCAAAATTTTTGGGGTAAATATGCTAGCTTCGAATTCGAAATAGGCAAAAATCATCTAAAAATGAACTTCCAAACGAAAAACTAAATTTGCATAAATTTCACGCATCATGGAGCTTAATTTGCATACCAGACACAATAAAACTAAGAACAAAAATTAGTGTCTAGTAGAAATAAAGTGCAATTTTCGAACACTAGGAATTACCGAGTTTTGAGAGAAAATAGGATAAAGTCGGGCCTCTAAAATAAGAATTTGAATATACAATAACGTAACTTAGGAACCTTATTAAGGCAATATTAACGTTATCATGCATCTCCCCCATAAATCCCGGGGCATGTGATAAATCGATTTGGCCGAGAGGGGGGGAGGAGGAACCCGAGTCCCCGGCCAATGCCCAGAATAGATGGAAAACGTGTTTGTTTTTGGGAGTCGCTTTGGGAGGGGGGGGATGTGAAGGAGGAGGAGTGCCGAGCGGAATTTATTTTGATTGCCCGGGTCATATATCTGGATGCGGCGGCGAATGGAATAAGCGGCTGGGTGTGAAAGAAAAATATTCTATTTATGAAAATAAGCCCATTGAGGTGCGCTACTAATGCTTTGTAATTCACGCTTAAGTTGTAATTCTCAAACCCCCGATACGATTTACGAAGCGATAATGCCGAACAGAAAATTTTTTCATAATTTAAAAATTTCGATTCTACAAAAAATTAAGTTAGCTAAAACGTAAAGTCAAATGCGGGAGAAAGAGAGAGCGAGAGAGGGGGAAATAGATATATAGAAGGCCTATCCAAGCACGCGAATTTCAAATTTGCCCATCAACAGAATGCTGCTATCAATTCTTAAAGCTACGCGGAGCCGCCCGGCTCCTATTAGTGCATCAATTTGACGAAATCTAGATCCACAGCATCTGGATCTTGATAAAGAAGCTAGAAATTCTCATAGAAAATGAGTCAACGGTTTTTAAATTCAAATCCAGTTTTTACGTCCTGTTTTGCGCCTAAAAAGATAAAATTGTGACCTGCACGCTCACAAGGAGTGTCCTTTTGGTGTCATCGGCAAAACGATTCGAGACCCAGCTCATTCGATAGAGAATTGAATTCTGAACACGAATGTGCTGTTCATTTTTGCGGAATGGTTGTCCCTGATTTTATAAAATTAAAAACCTGCCGGCGACGCCCATACATTGGTGCTTGGGGAGCGAGTTGTTAAGGTTTCGCGCTTGGTTTTTAATTTTATAAAATCAGGGACAGCCGTTCCGCAAAAACAAACAACACAGTCTTGTTCATAATTCAATTCTCTATCGACTGAGCTGGGTCTCGAATCGTTTTGCCGATGACACCAAAAGGACACTCCTTGTCAGCAAAATTCCAAGCAAAAACAATAGTTTTTTCGCCGAAAGATCGATAATTTCTAGACGGAAGTGTTAGTAAACAAGCGCATAAAACTGGAGGAGTGGCACCCAAAACAAGCTCTAGCCTAAGGTTAATCACATAATTTTCGAATGAAAAATCCGGCCAAATGACCAAAGTGCACGTTGCATCTGGAATGACGGCACGGGGCCATTGTCGTACACAGATGCTGGGGGTTTTGCGGGATGTGCGGAAGGGGGTAAAAGGGGTGGCCGCCCGGTGGATTGGGGGGTCGACCGGGCAAAACATGTGATAGCCCGGGCCCCTGCCACTACGCTCCGCTCCCCTGCACGCATGGGCCACCGCCCGGGAATGCAAAATCGAGCCTGGGTAAAAACTGGGGCTTGGAAACTGTGAAGAACTGGAAATCTATCGGGGATACGATCCGGATAGAGCGAGAGAGAGCGAGAGAGAGTGAGAGAGATGGAGAGAGAGAACGAAGATCGCTACAATTGGAGATAGCTTGGTCTTAAAAATAAGTCTCAGGCCGTTCTGCGAATTTTACGAAATCCGAGTGATGCCCTTTAATGCTTTTACGCCACGCTATCCTGGAAAAATCTTTTAAAACCTGTTTAAATAAAAATAGAAAGCGAGACAGAGAGAACTTAAAAATGTATCCACAAATCTAGAAAATTGCCTTTTTTGCGAAATCGGGACAAAGTCAGACCTTCAAAACCCCGTGAAAAACAAAGTAGAGCTAGAGCGGGAGAGTTGGAGAGATAACCTAAAAAGCACTAAAAATGAAGTAAAAAACCTCAAGAAATTTGCAATTTTACGAAATCCAAATGACGCCATGTCCCCAAAAATCGGTATAATTTCAAATATCGCCGGGTACAGGCCCACCGACGGGATGGATTTGTTGTTTGTCTGTCGACCCCAGGCCGGGGGCTGACCACGTGCTTTTCTAGCCCCCAGAAAAGGAACCACTGGAAAGGCACGAGGAGCCGAGAAAGGGAAATACGGAAAAGCGGCGGGAATCGAATCTTGGCGGAAAATAGAGGCCAGCCTGTGATGAATCCGCCACGATACGCCACGTTTGTCGGGAAACGTGACCTGGGGCAAAAAGGGAGGCAGGAAGTCAAGAAAGTCTTGGATTGTTTTGATTTATGCTGAATTTGGGTCGGAAAGTGGATAAGATAAATCACTTCGAATTCGTAGGGTCGAACTATGCACTGTTTTTAATCTGCTCAAGTTGCAAGTCAAACAACAAGAAAATTAACGACTAAATTAACGAATTTAATTTTCTAATTTTTGTCAGAAACGCGGTATCAATTTCGGGACTTAGAAAATAAATCTTTCCAAAACTTTTTTTAGCATTTCCTAATTAGTTCCTGTTTGAAAATGTCCAAGCCTAATTTTGAAGCTCTAAAATTAGACGTATGTCTTAAAGGCTTAAAAACCGAATTAAAACAGATAAATAATTCTTTGACTGAATGGAGGCGAGAAAGTTCCCACGGCTTTTTGTACCTTCCACGAACCGGTCAGTCTTAGAAACTAGCATAAAAATTCATGACAATTCAATTCTTCCTAAAATTTAATCAAAATCGAAGCGGATTAGATCTAAAAATTGTCGGTAACAGCGATTTCCAGCATAACAATAATAAAGTGAATTCAGAGAATGTGCGTCGAACGTTGGAAATTTGTCAAAAAAAAGCTTTATTGCGACATTCAAGGCGTAGAAGGCCATAAAAGCTTTCCGTAATCCCCTCGTAACAATAATAGAAGTGAACTCAGGCCCCTAATGGGTGTTGATGCCGAGAAGTGGAGGGCCCAAATCGGGGGCTCTAGGCGGGGGGAACGCTGTTTTGGGTGCCCGGGGCCCTGGAGCCCAGAAGTGCTCTTTTCTCCCACCCTCTAAAAAAAGTGCACTTTAGCATGGGGTTGACGGACGGACAGCCCCGGCTGTGTGTGTATGTGAATATTCTGGCGGCCAAGCGGCTAGACAACAAGGGGGAGGATTTTTGTCAACACCACATTTTCCCTATGGCGGACCAGGCTGACTAGTTGCACTGTCAAAAGGCCAGAGCCGAGTAAACACGCTAATTCGTGGAGTGGACGCATATTTTGAGTTAATCCCCTAGTTAGGTCATATTGTTTTTCGAGTCGTCTTTTGAGGGATTTTGAAATTAGAGGAAATATTTCGAAATCAAGGTCAATGGAAGGGGAAAAGTACGCATCTTTTTCGTTCAGCCCCATATTTTACTTCTTTTCAATGACACCAAATAGAATATTCGATTTGTTAGAAGTATACCGGATTTATTTTAATCGACGATTTAACAACGTTTAAAAAATACTAAGCAAAAAATATTGGTTTCTTCCGTATTAAACATTCCCAGCTATAATTAACTTTTCAAAAATGCCAATTGTACATCCATTTTCCAATAAAAATGATATTATTTTCCTTATTTTGGAAGCAAGGATTTTATCAAAGAATTTAACCAATCTTTGATACTTCATAGTTATCTCGAGTAAATAGACCTTAAAAACTCCAAAAAAATTAATAATCCACCAACCTGCTCGCGCGGCTAGCTTTTGCTGAGAATTTCCGTGTCAGACTCTTCATCCGCTCAAGCCCACGATCAAGCCCAGGCTGTGATCGGCTCTTATTTCTAAAAAATGCATTTTTGTTTGCTAAGAAAACGCTACCGATCACTCGGCTTGAGCTTCCCATTCCCATCTTCTTCGTAGTACTTTTCCATGGAAGCCCTGGAAAAAAAAGATTTTTAAGGTGGAGATTAGAGCTGTGCGGGAAATTTTGTAAGTGAAAATCAGTAGTAACGAATATAAGTTTACCGCGCCAGGCCATATTTTTAGAGAAAAGTGATTTTAAAATAAACACTTTGTAAAGAGAAAAATTAGGGACAATAAAAGCTGCCTTCACTTCAATAACGACGTTAATTCCTACGAAAGGATCAAACGAAAATCCTGGCCCCAGAATGCCCAAAATTAGCTTAGGTATGGAAAGCTTGTTAACTAAAAAAATCCACCACCAGAAACATTGGCAAACGGACCCGATGGTCGTCGTGAATAATGTGTTCTGTGAGGGGCCCACATGGGGTGCAGCAACAGCTGGGTCCACCGCCTCATCCCGTACGATAAAAAAATAAGTCGCT